GGCGGGGCTCCACCCTGACCACGCCCCCAGCCCCTCACTGGGGGTTCTGGGCGGGGCTCCACCTGACCATGCCCCCGGCCCTCACTGAGGCTGTCACTCTTACTGGCCCCCACTAAAGGCTGCGGTGCAGATTGCTGTCCCTTCCTGTGTCTCACCTGCGCCATGAGCTTCCGAGTGAAGTTTGTGTCAGGGGCAAAGAGGATTTTCCCGAGGATCAGCGGTTTCAGGCGCCTCCAGAGCAGTCGCGACACAGGGTGGTCATCGAGCGCCCCCATGAGCTGGGAGCAGGCAGGGCCTGGTGTCGGGGTAACGTGAGGCCCCGCTGCGTCCCCCCGCCCTCCACCGGCCCCACCCGGAACCCACGGGCCGAGTGACTCACTGAGGCTGCTGTCAGGCAGGGCTGGGGCCAGCTCCGGGCCCACGATCTCGTTGAGCTGGCTGGCATCGTACCAGTTGAGGGAGAGGCCCCCGGGGCTGCTGGGCCCCTTGGTGCTGCAGAGGGCCTCGGAGACCAGCTCCAGCGGGCCGGCTGACCCTCGGGGCCTCCGCAGCAGAGCTCGGAGCTCCAGCAGGCTGGGCAGCGTCAGGAGCTGGAGAAGGGCCGCCGAGGGGTGCTGGGCGCCTTTGTTTACTTGTTCATTTATTTTATTTTATTTTATTTTATTTTAACAGTCTCGTGAGGCTGGTCGCCTTACTTGCTATATAGTGTCTACATCCTGACAGGGCGCGATGGGGAGTTAGGGGTAGAATCCAGGATTTCATGCATGCTAGGCAAACGCTCTACCGACTGAGCCACAAGCACTCTGCCAACTGAGCTACAAGCACTCTGCCGACTGAGCTACAAGCACTCTGCCGACTGAGCTACAAGCACTCTGCTGACTGAGCTACAAGCACTCTGCCGACTGAGCTACAAGCACTCTGCCGACTGAGCTTCAACGCCAGCCCTGCTGTGTATTTGTTTGTTTGACTGAGATGCTGTCTTGCTCTGGAGCCCAGGCTAGCCTCAGTTCCCCGGCCCAGCCTCTGAGTGCAGCCGTGGCAATACAGCCCCACACAGCTTCTTCCCGCCCGCAGGGTGAGGCCGGGCCGGGCCCACCTGTAGGCCCCTCCCCTCCCGTCCCCTGCCTGCTTCCTGCTTCCTGGCCAGCGTGGAGACTGGCTGGGGCCTCTCACCTCCTGGGTAAGGTCTCTGGTGGTATCCAAGAACTTCCTCACGGAATCCTGGGCTTCACCAAGCACAGGGTCCAGGGACGCCTGTCAACCAGAAAACAAGCGCGGCTGAGACCCGGGGTGGACTGCTCAGCAGTCCTCAGGCCAAGGATGACCTCAGACTCCCATCCTCCTGCCTCCACCCCGAGTGCCGAGATGCCGGAGGAGCTGGGCCCCGGCCCCGGCCCCGGCAGGTGAGAGCTCCACCCCCGAGCCCCGGCCTCCATCACCCCCTTTTACAGATGAGGTACGGGAAGGTTGGAAGAGGAAGGGCCCGGCCCAGGCCCCACACGGGAGTCCCTGACCCTGCCAGCCCCTCCTCCTCACCCCTTGCAGGATCTTTTTGAGCTCAGTGGTCAATGACGCTTGCTTGTTCAGTGGGTGACTCTCTTGCGGCCAGGCTGAGGGGAGAGGATGCCCGTGTGAGGCAAAGCTCAGCTTGAGGGGCCTGCTGCCCCACCCCAAGCCGAGGGCTCCCTCTTCCTCTACCTCCCGCCGCTCTGAGCAGGGGCGTCAGCTTCCCCAGCGCAGCCAGCATCTCCCGGGTGCTGCGCCCCGCCAGCACTGTGCGAGCATCGGCAAGGAGTCTGGAGATCCTGGGGGCAGAGGGGGGGTGGGAGGCGGGGCTCAGTCCCAAACGCCACTCGTGGGCCAGCCCCACCCACCCACTCCACTCACAGGGAATCCTTAAAGTTGCTCAGGACCCCCGGCTTCTCGCCAGGCGTTGGCTGCTGGAAGCAGGAGTTGTTGACGTTGCAGATAAGGCCCTGCAGCCAGGGCAGGGTGCCCGCGGATGGAAGCGGCTTGTTTGGAAAGTGGCCTGGGGGCAGAGGCACCTGCTCAGAGTCGCCCTCACTTCTGCCACGCCGCGCTCGGCCCGGGCCCCGGGCTTGGCGGGAGAGGCTCGTCCCCCCCCCACTACACACAGCGGGCTTTTTCTTTCTTTTCTTTTCTTTTTCTCAACAGGGTTTCTCTGTGCAGCCCTGGCTGTCCTGGATCTCACTCTGTAGCTCAGGCTGGCCTGGAACTCACAGCGATCCTCCTGCCTCTGCCTCCCGAGGGCTGGGGTTAAAGGCGCGCGGCTCGCACCGCGGGTCTTACATTCGTGGTGCTCCAGCGGAGGGTGGGAGTGGCGGACGGCCACCAGGATGAAGAAGAGGAAGAGAGGCCAGAGTAACTCCACCAGCAGCTGGATCTGGGGGGAGAGTGTGTAGGAGGCTCCGGGGGACCGCGATGGGCGCCCGCCGTCGCCCGCCCCTGCACGCCCCGGGCTTTACCGGCTGTCTCCTGCGATAGGTGTAATTTTTCCACAGCAGGAGCATCAGCTGCGTGCAGAAGGCCATGGTGACTCCGGACGGGGGACGGAGCGGAGGGCACAGGACGCACAGGCTGGGGATGAGCTGTGTGGCTCGAGGCAGATGCCTGACGGTGTCCGATCTTCATCCTCCCATCCACCCGTCATGCACCCTCCTTCTCACTGAGCTGCGGGAATCTCCAGAAAAGAGAGCCCCGCAAACATCAAGGGGTGACCAATGGGAGCCCGGCCCGCAGCCGTCTCCGTAGCTGATTGGCTGGAAGGGCGGTCGCTCCCGGGGGGCTGAAGGCCGGGGTCGGGAAGACCCGGTTCGCGTTCTTGGGGGGCGGAGCTGGCACCGCAGGCCTCGGGCTCCGGGCTCCGCCTGGTCGGGGACCCGGGGACCGGACCCCACGGCCCCCGGGCACCCGCGGTCAGACCCGCAGCCTCGGTCCCCAGGGCGGGCGGCCTCGCGTCCGGCTGGCCCTGCGTCACGGAGATGGAAACTGAGGCTCCGCAAGGGGCAGAGTCACGCTCCGCAGGGACCCGGAGACGGGCGAGCCCGGCCCCCGGCGCCAAACGGAGGGGCGGACGACCCCCGGCTGCGGGGTCGGCCCCGAGCCAGCCGCTCCCGATCGCTTCTCCCCCGCCCCCAGGACTGTGTCCCTGGCCTACTTCATAAGACGGACAGGGAAACTGAGGCTGACCCGGAAGGCGGTGGCCAAAGCTTCGCCCTCTGCCTGGGAACCGGCGGTGTCCACCCGCGGACGCCGTCCACCCGCGGACGTTTGTCCTCCGCACAGTGGGATTTGGGAACCCGGGAGAGCCGGCGTCACTGGGGAAGTGGGGCGCGGCGGCGGCAGGATGCCCAGGCCCCTCCACGGGACCGGGCGCCCGCCGTGAGAAACCGCGGCCACTTTTTCCCACACTCGCGGGCAGGGTGCGGAAGGGCGGCGGGGAGGAGGGGCTCGCCTGGAACCCCCCGCTGATCAGGGGCCGCGGCCCCGCCCACCCGCACCCCACAGCGCCCCCAGCTCGCCAGGCGCCGCCTTCCACCCTCTCTGGGGTCCTCTCACCGTTCTGAGCCCCCCAAACTCCGTCCACCGTCGCCCCGCCCGGCATCGGCGGGGGAGCGCGGCCCCTTTAAGAGGCGCCCCCCTGCACGGCGGACGACGCCCTTCGCAACCCGCGGCCCCAGGCTGCGCTCGGCCCCACCCCCAGCGCTGCTATTGGACGGTGCTCCTGCCACTCGCAGGTCCTTGCCATTGGAGGGGGCGGGACCACGGCCTGGGCGCGCCGGGCCGGGTTTCTTAAAGGGGCCGCTTCGGGCCGCATCAGGTTGGTTTCAGGGGGACGCGACCGTGTCGGGGACAATGGGGCGCCCCCCTCCCTTTGAGTTCACACCACTCCGCTGCAGGAGACCCCTCTGTCTCCTCTCCCCAAGGAATCTTAAGTATTTATTTGAGACTGGCTCACACCTTGGGAGGCCTGGGGAGCCTGGAGGTCACTGCAGACCAGGCTGGCCTCGAACTCAAGACCCTCTCTCCTCCGTGCTGGGGTTAAAGGCGCCGCCCGGCGCAGCCTTTATTTTTAATTTGTTTATTGGGGCAGGACGCGTGCGTGCGCAGCAACTCTGGAGGTCCCGGGAAGCTTCCTGGGGTCTGTCCTTGCCTCCCACCCGGAAGGCTGGGCCGCAAGCGCCTTTACACCCTGGTGCCCTCACCAGCCTCTAGCCAGGCTTTTAACGTAAAGCCCCCAGGAGCTCATCCCCCAAATGGAGGTCTAACCACGTCCATCCATTCATTCATTCATTCATTCACTCACTCATTCACCCACAGCCTCTCAGCCCTTCAGTAGTCCAGGCGATTTCAGAATCAGGTGGTGGCCCAACATTCTAAGATGAGAATCAATAGTTTCTCGGATTTTGAGCAAAACGCCCGGATGTTTCTCACCCCCCCGGGGGGGGGGGCGGGGATCTGGTTTATTTCACAAAACCATGAGCGGGTGGGGGGGTGGGGGGCTGGGTAGATCCACGCTCTGAGGGCCCTGGGAAGGGTCAGAGCTGGAGAGCGGCTTTGGAGTTGGGTTTCTGAGGATGTACAGGAGTTCAAAGGAGACGGCCTCTTCCTCCACCTTAGTCCTGGCCTCAATCATTCGTTCAACCGGGCCTCAGTTTCTCCTCCTTCCCCCTGCTTCTCAGCGGCCCCCTCCGTCACCGCGCGCTTCAGGAACACCCTCCAGCCTTAGAAACGGAGGTTTTTATTGGTTTTGGTCCACACACATATTTCACATTATCTGGCGGCGCAGAGGCCCCCGCGGGTCAGGGCGGCACTTTCGGAGGCCGGGCGGGCCGGGCACGGCTAATCAGCCCAGAGCAGGAGGAGGTGGGAGGCGGAAACCCAGAGGAACCCGGAGGGCAGCAGGTGCGGCCTCGCCTCACTCAGTCCCGGGCCTCAGTTTCCCCACTGGGCAAGGGAGAGTGAGGTCTGAGGGCCTTGGGAGGACAAACGCAGTCCCTCAGAACCCCGCAGTGGTTAAGGCCCAGGTGCACCCCACACCTTAGGGGGGCGGCAAACAAAACACACAACCCCTGTTGTCTTTCACTGAAACTGCCTGCAATTTCGATGGTCCGCAAACCACAAACTGAAGAGATGAAGAAACCGGAAACTCCTTGGGGCCAGCCTCTCCCGCAGCCTGCTGGGAAATCCACAGCCTGGCTACCCCATCAAGGACCCCAATTTCCCTGCCGGGTGGGTCAAGCCTGGAAAGGAAGCAAGGCATGATGGGTGGGGAGGGAGCATAGCGCAGGCCTGTCCTCCCAGCCCCCAGGAGCTGAGGCAGGAGGATTGCTGTGAGTTCCAGACCAGAGAGGGCCACAAAGTGAGGCCCAGTTTCAAAAAAACAAAACAACACAGAAGAAGAAAAGGAAAGAAACCCACACAGGGATGCTGATGCGGGGAGCCAGCACCCTCGGGTGCTCAGTACCCCGCCTCCTCCTGGCAGTAGGCCAGGTACTCAGGGCCCTCGCCAGGGCCATCACCCTCCACGGGAGCCCCGTCGGCTGCTGGGCCCTGTGGGCAATACTTGGGGTCGTAGATCTGCCGCCCCAGCCCGAAGACCTGGCCGCTCTGGTTGGCGCCCTGCGTGTAGCCCATCTGCAGGGACATGGAAGAGTTGTCGCACTTGTCGGTGCCCAGCTTGGTGTCGTAGATGTGCCTGCGGGTCCCCGGAGCCGTCATGCCCACCTAGAGAAGGGGAGGGGCTCAGAAGGGGGACACCCCCCTGCAGTTCCCTACAGGCTTTCCAAAGCTTAGCTAAAACCGGCTTTGTTTTTTGTCTGGAGAAAGGGTCTTACGTAGCCCAGGCTCGCCTCAAACTCACTATGGAGCCAAGGATGGCTCTGAACTCCTGATGCTCCTGCCTCCACTCTCCGGGCGCTGGGATGGCAGGCGAGCATGCCGATGCCCAGTTTATGCCATGCTGGGGCAGAAGCCAGAATCTCACGCATGCTAGAAACTCTCCACGCTGAGCCTGGCCCGGCTCCTGACACCTCAGCACTCAGGAGGCCGAGGCCGGGTTGCTGAGAGTCTCACAGTCACACCCTGTCTCAAACCCAGCCCTCTGCACAAAAATAAATAAAACTTTCTGACCACTGTAAGCATCCATGTCCCACTTTCTTCTCCTTGACAGCTAGGGCCCCTCCACCTGGAACAGAGGCTTCCACAGCCTCTGAGGTTCCCCAAACCTCAGGGACCCAGGCATTCAACTTAAAACCGGTGAGGCTATCAGATGGGGGTGGACATTTGGGGGAAACGGAGGCACAGAGTGGGTGGGTTGTCAGGTCTGAAAGCACACACAGTGAGCAAGACACAGAGTTGAGTCTAGACTCCCTGAGGCAGGGGGACAGATTGGAGCGGAGGTCACAGCGGGGGTCTGGGGCAGGACCCACCTGGCTGGCACACTTGTTGGTGCCCATCTGGAGGCTGATGGTGCAGTGGTCCATGGGAGGCAGGATGTGGTTCTTAGGGTCGTAGAGATGCCGTCTGGTGCCATAGGCAGTCATGCCGGACTGGCTGGCACACTTGTTGGTGCCCATCTGCAGGGGGGCATGGCGGGGTTAGGGTGCAGCCGCCAGGCTCTAGCGCGGCGGATCTCAGCCTCCCTGACGCTGGGACCCTTTCACACAGTCCCTCATGCTGTGGGGACCCCCAACCGTAAAATTACTTTCGTTGCTACTTCATAACCAGTTTTGCTACTGTTAGGAACCATGATGTAAATATCCGATATGCAAGCCCTGGGAAAGGCTCGTTCGGCCCAAAGGGGTCGTGACCCACGGGCTGAGAACCTTTGGCCTCGACCCTCCCTGGAAGTCAAGGGGCCAGGGCCCTGTCCAGGGTGCTGCGGGCCCTACCTGCAGGCCAATGACGCACTGGCCGGCCTTCATGGTGGCGTCATCAAAATTCCGCTCCTGTTTCTCTGAGTATTTGACCCCGATGTCCACACCACTCTGCAGCCCCTTGGTCTTGGCCTGGGTGGGGGAGAGGGGGGCAGAGACCCTGAATTCAGGTTCAGACTGCAAGCATCAGACAGAGGATACAACGCCCCAGAAATCTATCCAGTCCCTGCCGGTGCCCGGCCCCGCCCTTCAGACCCCGGCCCGGCCCCGCCCTTCAGACCCCGGCCCGGCCCCGCCCCTCAGACCCGGGCCCGGCCCCGCCCTTCAGACCCCGGCCCGGCCCCGCCCCTCAGACCCGAGCCGTCCAACCCCAGGTACGGTGGCTCTCTGCGACCTTGCTGTGCCCTCAGCCTTAAACCCTGTCCCCACCCACCTTCCCAGTTTCTTGTTGAAAGGTGGGAGAGTCTAGACAGCAAATTCTCTCCCCTCCCTGCCTCTCGGATCAGACAGAGTGGCCTGTGTTTGTGTGGCTCGTCTGCGTCTGCGCGGTGACACCAGCCTCCTGGCTGTGTGACGCTGGGCTGCCCGCCAGCCCTCTCTGGGCCTTACCTTTCCCGCCAGCGCAAGCAGAGACACTTGGACCTGCGTCATATTCCCGCTCTCGAACAGGTCATTGGCCTCGAACAGGTCCACGGGGTTCATGCCGTAGCTGACCATGGCCTTGATGAAGTTGGAGAGGTTTTCCAGCTGGGGGGAGGCAGGGGAAGCACTGTGAGCAGGGAGGCTGGCGTCCACGTGGGCTGGGCGGGCCGTTCCCACCGTCTCCTCCCAGCCCTCACCTGGTGCCAGTTCTGCATAGAGCGGTTAATCTTGGGGACAGAGCCTGGCTGCAGCTTGTTCATGAGTCTGGGAAGAAATGACCCAGGACCCTCCATTGGCATCCCGACCTCAGCAAGCTCAGGAAGCCTCTACCCAGCCTCAGTTTCCCTTTAGCTTCCAAGCAAACAAAGCTGTTGACAATGCATGCTAGGAATGTAAGTCTTGAACCGTGGGGCTTTAGGGGAATCTGAGAATTTTCACTATGATTTTTTTTATGTGCACAACTGTGGAATCTCCCTAGGGCAGATGCATAGCACGGAAGAAACTTCCAGAAGCATTAGCCACGGAAGCCGGAAGGAGAAGGCCTAGGGTAGGATGGCTCACAGCTGCGGCATGTAGAGAATGCCATAGGACAAGGAAACCTCAGACAGGGACAGACAGATGAGACTAGAGACTGAGTACTGCAGGGAAAGGCAACGAGGGGCCAGACAGAGGGCTCAGAGGTCAGGGTGCTTGTCCCTGTTCCACGCCCTGGGTTCAGTTCCCAGCACCCATGTCAGATGGCTCACAGCCAGCTCCAGGGGATCGGAGCGCCATCTTCTGGCCTCTGAGGGGAGTGCACTCATGTGCACATACACACAGGGGCACACAGGCCCTAACACACCACACACACACACACACACACACACACACACACACACACGAAGTAAACCCCAAATAAAATAAGGACAAGAAGTAAGCCAAGGGAATGAAAAGTAAAAGAGAGACTATGCAATAAGACAAGAAAAAGGAAAAACAAACTGGAAATGCACAGGAGCCATGCAGCACAGAACACTAAGGCGGAGGCCTATGTGCCTGTGAGCACTCACGTGCATAGGATGACCCCATCCTTCAGACCCTTCTGGAAGTCAGGGCCGATGGAGAGGCCCGTGAGTCCCTCAATCCAGCTGCGGAGTTCCGCTTCCTTCTGGGGGTCATATTTGGACAGGAGCTGAGGAGCAAAGAGCACAGGGCTGAGCTGGGGCCCAAACACACTTTCCAAAGCTTTCGGATGGATGAGGCCAAAGACAGCAGGGGAAGATGGGACAGAGGGTCTCATGTAGCCCAGGCTGGCCTTGAATCGCTGTGTAGCTGAAGATGACCCTGAACCAATCCTCCTGCCTCCACCTCCCCAGAGCTGGGATGACGCCTGTGTAACACTGTGAAGTGCTTGGGAAGAAACCCGAACACTCTGCCTGGCTCCTGCCTCTGGCTTCACCCATTCTGGGCACTTCCTATGTGCCAGGGGCTTGGGCGTCTGACTTCAATCTGTCCTCACTGAGGACAGAGTTCTTCCAGAAGATGCTCCACTAACATGGTCCATCAGAGGCCCGTTCTTTTTCACGGCCTAGCAATATTCCAGCTGATAGGCACCCCCAGGTGGACTGTCTCCACATGACTGGGTTAAAAACAAAACCAAACCCTCAGATTCCCCATACACACCCACTTCCCATGGGCTCACACCTGCCCACCCCTGCGGCGGGATCTCAGGCCTGGGCAGGCAGGGTCATGCCGGGATCTCCCTCTCCATCCTCCTCCCCCAGGGGACTAGAGGGCCCTAGAGAGCTGCCCTGGTGGCCCAGCTCCTGCCATGTGGAGGACCTCAGGGTGTTCTCGGCTCCCCAGGCCTCAGCTGCCCATTTTCTGTTTTGTTTTGTATCCGAGACAGGGTTTCTCTGTGCAGCCCTGGCTGTCCTGGAACTCGCTCTGTAGCCCAGGCTGGCCTCGAACTCAGAGATCCGATATCCGCCTGCCTCTGCCCCTGGGAGCTGGGATTAAAGGCATGCGACACCACCGCCACCACCCTGCCAGTTCCCGTCTCATCGGGACAGATTGTTTGCTGACCGGAGCCCCCTTCCCCGTTCCAGTCTTTTTAAACCCTTTCAAGTGGGATTAGCTGCTCACAGGGGAGACAAAGGCCGTGGGCGGCGGGGGGCCAGCTGCTCCCACGTCCAGGAGCCGCCCAGTCCCGCAGGAATGAGCAGGGGCTGGACCGGGATGCCAGACGTGCCAGGTCCAGCTGGGCCACGTCCCTCGAGGCTCCGAGGGCCAAGGAGGGGGGCAGAGTCCCACCCGCTGCGGCCACCTCCCTCCCCGGCCGGCCGCCCTTCAGCGCATTCCAGCCCGCCGGCCGCAAACTACCAGGAATGCGGTGGCCTCCCGGGTCTAAATCAGAACCAGCTGTTCCCCAGTGGCCAGGACCCTCAACCGGACCGAATAAAGCCCCACCGGATACAGGGCCGGCCAGGGGGTAAACTGAGGCACGTGGGCCAGGCACAACGGTCTCTGGGCTCCCCTCCCGGTGGAGGATGCAACCCTTCGTGACCCCCTGCAGGGCTGGCCCAGGCCATCCCTTCTGGCAGCTCCGCAGTCAGCCAGAATCTCCGACCTCATCCCCCGGGTGGCGGGTACTGACCTGCCCTCCCTGCGCCCCACTCGGCTCCTACCCGCCCCGTCCTTGGCGCTTTCCTCCGTCTCACTTCCTCTGTCCAGCACCCCCACCCCCGCAGGCATCGGCCAGGGCCCTGGGACCGCGCCTGCTGTGCGTCTCCGGGGGGTAGAGCAGCCTCCCCGAGATGCCGCTCGCCCCGGCAGGCCGAGGACAGGGCAGCGACTCAGGTGGCATCTAAATCCCCAGCGAGGCCTCCCGTGCCCTGGTGGGGACCCGGCCGGGGCCGCGGGCCGCAGGTGCCGGGCTGGCAGCCTCGGCGTGCCCAGGCAGGTGCCCGGCTTCGCCGGCCGTGAAACCCGCACTCCTCCCAGGTGCCGGGCGGGCGGGTTCGGGGTCAGGCCTGAGCGGGCAGTCAGTGTCCCCCGCCCCCCGTCGTCAGCCTGGGGCGCCTAGCGGTGCGTCCTGCCCCGGGGCGCTGGTGATGCCCCGCTACGTTCGAGGCTACCCCAAGCGCGCCCTCTGTCAGGTGTGGGGAGAGTCCCCGGAGGGGGCCACACCCTGTTGAGAAGCCCCGCCCCCTTCCCGTCCACAACTTAAGTGGCTGGGGGGGTGGGGAAGTGTCGCCAGGTACTACACACCGGGTGGCGGGGGAGGGGTCGCGGGGCGCAGGGGGCGCAGGGGGCGCAGGGGGCGCAGGGGCCGGTCCTCCCGGACCCCGCCCGCTCGCCTTCTCCAGGGTCTTGCTTCCATCCTCCTAGCAGCTCGGGGTGCAGGAAGCGTCCCCGGGGGGCCCGGGGTGCGGGATGTCCAGGGGCGGAGCTGCAAGAGGCACCCCGGGTGCAGAGCAGCGGGGTCCCCTTCTCCCGGAACCCCGGAGCCCGCCGGCTTACCGGGGCGACCCCCGCCCTGGGGTGTCAGGGCCGAGGCGCCGCGCGTTCGAGGCCGAGCCCCGCGTCCACTCACCCGGTTCCTGACCTCGGCCGAGAGCCCGTAGGACGGGCCCTTGTTGAACTGCGTGGAGCTCATGGCGGGGACCGGGGACCGGCGCGGGG